ATATATATATATCATATATCATTAACTGTTCTGGCATCCAATTGCGGTGATATTAAAAGCTGTTGCGCAAAAGAAGAATGAATTTTGGATGCATCCCGAATAGCTTTGTCTACCCGAGAAGTTTAGTTCTAAATTTAAATTTCAAAAACTTTTTAGAACCGTCCAGAAAGAACGCAGTATCGCCAGTTTCCTGGCATAATGGATAGGCGTGGATTTTGGGGCTCAAGAAACAGGTAATTTCTATGTCTATCTATCGACCTATATATATATGTATATATATGTACATATATATATATACATATATGTATGCATATATACGAACTTCAGAAAAATAAAGTCAAAATTTTCCGCTGCATCTGATGGTTTATTTTTGTTCCCCACCATTTTTTTTATTTCAGTGGATCATCTGGAATGAGGCAAGGGTAAGTGGACGATTGGTGACATTTCGGTATATATGATGTCACGTATTTGAGAGAGAGAGCCCCAAATGAGAATGGTTGCTTGTTTTTGTTTTTTGCTAGCAAGGCTGAAAGGGAGTCGTTTTGGCCAGGTTTATGGTTTCATATATGTATGTGCGCCGAATGTTGGTTAGAAAATAAATATTATTTACAGAATGGACTATCGTCGCACTCCGATGTATCCGCCACGACGCGGCATTGGAGGAGGCGACTTGGCCGATCAGCGTACACACTACGGTTGGTTTTATTTCTATGTAAACTCAGAAATTGTTCACTTATAGAAAATTTAGGTAATCATTAAGAATTACTTCTCTTCGTTAGCAGTTTTAGATTTTTTTTATATTTCTCGTAAAATCAGTGTTAAATCCAAGAATACATGTAATTCAAATAGTAGTAGAGATAAAAAATATTTTGGCAAAAATGTGGTTGGATAATTTGTATTTTTCCTGTCAATGATTTTCCATGGTCTTCTGAGATTCTGGATATTAAATGTGATTCCTTATCGTCTTTTACCAATATGTTTATTGTTCATTTAAAAAAACCTTTCGCAAGATTACTTATATTTTTGCAGGACGTAGTGGTCGGCAGTCTTATCAGCGAGGTACTGAGCAAAACAAATCAATAAACGATGAAGAAAAGCCGGTGATGAATCTGTTCGATCCATGTAAAGTCCCTACAGGACGCTCTTACTTTACGGTAATCTTTCCTACACAAAGGCTGTCAGAATTCTAAACGCACTGTGTATAATTTAGTGGTAAATATTGCTTAACTTGAAGGAGTCCATTCATATCTTTGGCATGAGGTTGTATAATCATCGGTTTTAATGTGTCATCAAATATCTGGTGAAATTATAAAAAGTACACTTGAAATAAATTGTTAGACAGCGCTTTTCCAAATTTAACCTTTTCTGATATCTCTTCACAGCTTCCTGCGGATTGATGCATTCATATCTGATTTTGCAGCATGATGATCGAGCTACAAAGTCAGTGCGCATCTCACGGTCAAGATATTCGACTTCTGGTGACAGTGGTTGGCAGTCGTTACCAGTTGGCTGGCGCAATGTTCGAAAGGTATTTCTAATAAATTTATCCCGATTTCCCGCCAGACTTTTCTGGTTCAACTCTTCTTCAAATATAATTTCATACTGTTCAAAATTCAAAATGATTTATGCTACAGGTTCATATTCCGTTCCCGAATCATATTCTGTTATTGTGAACCATACAACCGTTTTATTTCCGTTTGTAAGAAATATTTGTTATTAGTTCATATCTCTGGGAGATACTTTTCGTGTTGTGTTTTTACCATCCTCGCGGTTATAATCGATGATGCAGTCCAAGTTGTGAAATTTGTTACGCATTTTAAGAAGCGATAATTATTGATCGTAACTGCTCTGGTTTTTTAATTGTCGATTCTACTGGGAGTAGTTCCTGTCAAAAGAATGAAGTTTTCATTTTTTCCAGGACTGTTTCATTTTTACTTTTTTGTACAAATTACTTTATCTGAACCATACGGAAGTGATTGCCGTTAGAAAAAGGTATCTGATTATTCATGCTGTCTTGAGTTTTGATTTTAACTCTGCTTCATATTATGTTGCATATGCGAGAGATTGGAGCTGTTGGATATGAGCACTTTCACATAGACTTTATTAAACAAATTGAAAGATAGTTCTCTTCCATTAAGTGCAGTGGATTACGCTTCTCATAATAAAGTTATCGTGATTTGTCCCTGTTCTGGCGAGTTTTTTCACATTAGGTTTTATGATTTCGCTGAAAGACAGTAAGGATTTTCAGTATTGCCCACTGTTTTGTTAACATTTTATTGGAAATAATTTGCTTTCATCACTTCTGCAAAATTTGCAAAATCTCGATTACTGTGCATCATATATAATTAGTTGGCATAAAAACTGGAAATCTCTTCCGTCTGTATTTATTCCAATACTATTTCCGATTCAGTGTGATATTCATACAATGTGTAGCGATTTTTCAAACAAATTTTAGTATGTGGAATGATTTCATATTGGTATAGCGTCGTCAGATCTATTTGAAATGAAATAATTACTTGCTGGCATGTTATCATTGTCTTTGTTCAGTGCACCATAGGAAAAAAAAGTCTCAGCATTTGATAAAAACGAAGAGGTAATTTATGAATGGTTGTAGTCGTGACTAGATCGCCAACGTATTTTATAGTAATGATGAATTAAGGTGCGGAGAAGCGATGATGTCCTTCACGATGATAATCATGCCTCTTACCATAAAAAGCGCTCTGAAAAAAATCCAGCTGATGAAGTGTGGAAACATGATATGTTTGAATGCGAAGAAAGTGAAGGAGCTCAGGTTGCATATGTTCGGGATCAGTTATAGATTGCTTTGGTCAGTTATAGATTATTTTCGCTTGTTTGTCTGTGTTGTGCTCGTTATGTTTCAATTCTTTTGTTGAAGTTTATACTTCTGTTGCTAATGTTTATGCAACGATTATTGCATTTAATGCAATGTTGAGAAATGTTACTAAATTGAATTTGTCCTCAACACAGTGCAAAAAATGAGAACTGTAAAACAGCAGTTGAATAAGATCGATTTTACTAGTTTTAAATTCATATCAAGGAATATTTTCTATCACTGTTTCTTTGATAAAGTTTTTGAACGGTTCGTTGTTTCTTCAGTTTGAAAATAAATCCCCTTAAACTGAGATACCAGTGTCGGGTAACTTATGTGTCGGAATTGTATTTATTGAACGCCATGAGTGTCATAATATCATGACTATGTTATGCTGTTGTAGAATATCCTCCAAAAAACTAAATGGAAGTGTGAAATTGATATTTAAGAAGGTAAAGACCCTATTGGCTTATTTAGAAGATTGAAGCTGAAACTCGCTCTTGAATGTAGGAAAAAGTGGGGAAATAAAAAAAAATGAGGAAACATAGAATGAGAAAGTGGTAGGGATTTTCAAAAGATGCAAATTGACTAAAAGTCATTTCTTGTACGTCTGTGATACTAAGCAATTCTTCAGTAAGCACCTTGGAACTAAGCAGATCCCGTCTCCCTTCCACTCTTGATTCTGTTGATTGTCATCACCTAATCGACAGTATCCCTTATTTTAATTTAAGGTATTTCTGGGAATTTTGGTTTAAACGAAGCAAAAGAAATGCTGGAACTAAGAGTTTTGGTTGACCAATTGTCGTAAGCTGAGCAAACGTTTGGTTCTTTTAATAATTTTCTTGGGAAAGTTTCTATAATGCCTTTTTCCGAGATAAGCCATCAAATAAAAGACTATTTGTTAATGTTTGCTATGCATACACTTATACAGGACATTTTTTCGTCTCCATAAGACGTCTGTGTAAGACGCTTCCTCCATCATGTTTCTTTTTTTTTGCTGGTAGTACCTTTCCATAGAACGGGTGTCGATGTCGGGTACCGTATAATTTCAGGTATTAGTTTCCATAATGCTTAAGAATTGTATGTGTAATATTCGAAAGTAATTTTCAAATCCTTCATTAGCTTTTATCATTCACGTTTCACTAAACTGCCCGACAGTTCCGCGTCATCGATCTTCCAAAGCATATCCATTTGACTATTGTATCATATTTTTCGAAAAGTTATTTTAACAAATTGGTGATAATCCTACCTCAATAGAAATTTTCTTCTCATAAGTTCATAGAATTTCCTCTCATAAGCTCATACTTTTAATTTACGATAAAAATAGCATTGTTACAACAACGAAATGCAAATAATAAACATACAAATTGAGAAAGCTTTCTTCAATAAAAAGAAACCAAAAAAATTAAGTTTTCAGGGAAGAAGGAGAACCACCTTTTCGAAACTTCAACCTTCGTCATTTGTTGTTAACCTTTGATTTGACTCATCATTTTTGTTCATCTTATCAATCAGCTCCTACAAAATGATAAAATAAAAAGTTTAATAAACGCTCAGCAATTATCACGATCAATAATCGTAACAGTAGTGTCACAAGAGCCCCAATAAAAAATAATCAACAACTTTACCCATTTAACAATTCCATCCCCTCATGAACACATAAATATCACATGACACTAGCAACTTTTTTTGTCACAATTATCAAACATGAAAATACTTTCAAACTTATTGGCGCTTTTCACTTCCTTTATAATTTGTTACTGCCAATTCCTTCCATTCGCCTTTACCTGTCTTTCACGATATATTTGGACGTATTAGAAAACTTTACCCTTTACTGTAATTAATCGCAGGACTAATGAGAAGGAGCTTGCAATGAAAAGTATTCTATCACGAAATGCTAACTCTCTGTTCCAAAAGAAATGTCCCATCTACTTGATAATTTGATTAGAGATTCAAACTGAATGACAATGACTAGAGTTGTTCACTCTTTCTATCATCATTCATTTCGTTAATGATTCAAAATATTCTCTTCATTCCTAAGACCAATTGAACATGATAAGTTGTGAATAATAGAAGCAGAACCTCTGACTGACGCAGTGCAAATATGATGTTAGTGCGACCGCCGATTGGCTGCTCAAATCTGCTGGTCACATATTAGCGGAGTGAATTTCACGTGAGTACGTGACACCAGTGGGTCATACTTCATTCTTGAGCGCCAACAAGAATGACGTTGAGAAGATGCTCTCCACCTCTGTGTATCATCTATACGTCTCTTGTGTATGCATGCATACCTTCCACAACATCAAATGTATCTTGTTTCATTGCCCGCCGCCTGCTGCATTCCAATCGGCTTATCGCTTGCCACATTTCATTTCTTTGTTTATTTATGCAAATAATAAGTTGGGATGTGAATGGTTTGGAATTCGAGATGACGTGACGTGTGATATCGGACGCGTAACATGTTACAGCCGGTATAGATGTTATCGAAAGATAAGAGGAAATCAAAACGAAACACCAAAATGGGAATTAAAAGTGCATCACGAAAATGGTTGTCACCCTTTCAGGAGACACTGTCTATACTGTGTGTATAAGGTAGGATGATGGTAGGGAAGCTGGTCATTTCTGCTGTTCATTACTTTAGTATCCCGAGAAGGATGCTAATCCTTTAACCATTTACTTCAGCTCTTCTGTCGATTAAACTGCTGCTGGTATGAAATGCAGAAATCCTGGAATATGTACTCGAATATCTTCGTCTACTAGATGAATGCAAAGAAAGCATTAAGAAACAACCAACAAAATCATTTCTTAATCAACGATCAGATCAAAGAACTGGTGCCCTGTAGGACTTGAATCTAATTTTGAATTTGTGTAAAGATTAACCGGTAACCATCCCCATTTAATGACATTGATAGCAATTAGGGTTGATAGGCTCATCTCGGTCAACTTTCATATGGCGATGATCGGCAAAGATCGTTATTAATATAGGGACATTGTCCCCAAAATTGTCACTAACTTATTGGCGTATTCTCAGCATGATTAATTTCTTCGAAAGAATCATTTTTCCCTTTAATTCTGAATGAGCGGCATGTGTGATAACAACCGAAATATTATTGCTTTCAGTTGGCAGTGCACTTCTCCTTCCTCTCGTATGTTTAGCTGTTGCCTGAATGGAAGGGACTGAATGGAATTCGGAGAGGGCATGCCATTCTATCCCATCTCACCCTATCTTCTAAGCTAGGCCTAATCCTAGGCTCTCACACTCCAACCTAATATCTCTTCATTTCATATTTAGATGGTTGCTTTCATCCAAAACTTCTTCCATCAAACTCTTTTTTGCATGCCAAATAGTTGTTTTCATTCGAAACATTACTTTTTATTCCCTACTAAACAACCATTCATCATTCCCTGTTTGCAACTTTCATTGAATACTTTCCACTTCTGTTGTTTCGTTTCACCAATTCTGAATTATCTCATGTTTATCATCTATTTCATATTCAAATGGTTTTTATTTAAAACTTTTCCCAGCAAACAATTCATATTCATATTATGTCCAATTTATAGAATTTGTAGATTCCATACCTTTTCATCTCTTCTTGTCAATATTTACAACAGAAGTTGCAGTTAAACGTTTATAGCAAAACTGTTATGTTTGTTTGTTGTCGCTGAAATTCATGGAATTTCAGTGTAAATTTACAGCGTGTGCAGAAAGGGAGGCGCTGATTTGTGTCACATTTTGTCATTGCAAGTCTCTTCATGTGTCCGAGTAAGCTTTTCTGTAAATTCATCCCTGTGAATTGTTTGTGTCCTATAATGAATTCAAAACGATTTAGATTTTGGTGGGAATGATTTTATCGATGTAATTTGTAGTACAATTACCGATCCTTTGTTAAGAATTCTGATTTAGTTCTGGATTTCTCATTCATTGCTCATAAAACATTAATTAATTTCAGTGAATTGGGATTATAACGAGGAAGGTGAATGCGGTGAGTTTTTTGCAAGTTCTTGATGAATTCCTCTACAATTTTTTTCCGGTTACTTCCACAAAGTTTTGACGAAAATAAAACATTCGATCAAGAGAAATTTTCACAAGATTAAAAGATTTATCCATATACTATCGAATTCTGGAACAATCATACGTTTTATCTTTTCAATTATTCCAGGCCCAAAATACTGGCCAAATGCTGATGGACATAATCAGTCACCGATAAATTTGGATTTGTGTTTGATGAAATATAGTACCGTAGAACCGCTTAAGTTTCTCAATTATGATGTGAAATTGACAGGTGAAATTGTCAACAATGGGCATTCCGGTAAATTTCTTTCCCAGTACTGCTAACCAAAAACTGATCTTCGTTTTCCTGTTTTGAATCGAAGATAGTGCGAACGGGCAAATTGACTGGTATTAATGCTCTTAAACGGTATTTGATTGCGACAACTATTTCATGACAGTTAAGGTGTTCAGCACAAAATTTGCTGTGTTCTCTTTGTTTTGCTTGCGTATTGTGCTCATGAAAACGGTAGGTATTATATATCGAAACAGTGGGGTCGTTATACTTGGAATTTCAAAACAGTCAAGACTGTCATATGGAATACTAGGCAGTTTAGAATGAACGAATTAAACAAAAAGATTTGAAGGACAATGTCGTGGATTGTTGTGAGCGGGGAATGTAATACGAATCTATTTGATTGATATACAAACTTGTCTTTATTAAGAGACTCACCGAACTGTATGGACCTGATCTCTGATGATTGAATGCGTCGCTCTTTACCTCAATTTCATAATTAAGTGTATAAACTAGGCACAGTTAAAACTATCAATGTAATTCTATCACAAACAATGAAATAGTTCCACAGTACCCAGGTAGTATCTTTTAAGTGATGTTGTTGTGCAGGTGAAGGGAATTTTCTAAAATCTGATCATCTCGCAAGGATTTCTTTCAAATATTTAACAAGTTCCAGATATCTTTTTACAATAAATGTTTAGTTTTATCGAAAAAAAACAAAATTCTTTTTCTATGTTTTCGAATTTTAGTGCAAGTGAAGCCCCATCTTAGAAGTAGCGCGCCAGAAATTCGAGGTGGCGGTTTTGATCAGGCTTATCGTTTGGTACAATATCATTTTCATTGGGGACTACACGATAATGAAGGTAGGCGCGATAGTTTTACTCAGAGTGCTTCATTGTTCATATCGAACCAATTAACTGGTATAGGTGGGAGAAGTTTATTAAGTAAGATTCACTTAAGTTGTAGATTGCATTCTTTTGACGGTACTGCAGCAGTGTCGTGGTTTTCAAAAGGGACAACTCGTAAACTGTATGTGAACAGTGATCGAATCCGTTCATGTCTTTTTTTCGTTACGCTGTCACAGCGTGGATAAATAAATAAATGAATATTTTCTTCAGGTTCCGAACACACTTTAGCTGGCTTGCATTATCCGGCAGAGCTACATCTTGTACATGAAGGTCTTACAGATCCCAACAAATTAGCCGTTATTGGTGTTTTCTTTGTGCTTGGTGATGATGACAAGGCTTTGTATCAAGAATGCACACTCCTTAATAAAATAATCGATCCAGGTTTGCTGTTGAGTATTACTGATAACTGCGTAGTAGCTATTTTGTTAGTTTTGGAAGCATGTTATAAGGATCATGAGGATGCTGCACAGTTTCAAATTTCTGGTCATAATTTAGAATAACGTTCGACAAATATTTCCTTGTATTGTAAAGGCTTTTTGAGATTCTCACTGTTGTATTTCAACTTTTAGTAAATGATAGTGTTTCCTTGATTTACTATGGCTTTTTTAAACACCTTCACTTTTTACCTTTCTTTTAGGGGGTTTCTTGGCCTAATCTCTAGATCTTTAAAAAAACTGCTAATATTTTCGAATTCTCTCATATGGTCGAAGAAACCTTACTACAGGTGCTTTGTGAATATGCAGCAAAATTAAGATCCAAAAATTCGAACTTCATTCGAGTCCTTTCGTGTTTATGACCATATTCATGCTTATAATCATACTTAGAGTTTGAATCGTTCAACTTATTCAATAAGTTCAATTTTTTAGAACTGGGTTGCTCATATTATTGCTTTCCTTCTGACCATTTTGTTAAGCTTACTAAAACATATTATTCTTCTCAAAGGTTGAAACACAAGCAACTCTTTAAGGATAAATAATTCTGCTGGAAATATTGCTGAAAATGACTAAAAATTCCGATCGATTCCTCGAAAATTTTTATTACATTTATTGAGAAAATTTTGACTCTTGTTTTCAGCACAAAGTCAACCAATACAAGAAATCCTTTTGGATGATAAATTGCCAAAAAATAGGAAATCATTTTGGCGATATACGGGATCTTTGACCACGCCACCATGCTCTGAGATTGTTACATGGACAATTTTCACTGAACCTATTGTCATCACCAAATTTCAGGTGTTTTTTTGCGTCATTTGCCTTTGTCAACTTTTGCGTTTTTGTCAAACTTTTGCCGTTTTTTGTCGTCGTAATGTCGAAAATGCACCATTATGAAGTTTGAGTTGCAATTATCCTCAAAGAGAGGCAGGATTTTAGTTTCGTATTCCTGACTGGGCCTCCAATTCGTTGTACGAAATAATTAATCTAAAAAAAGTATGAAGCATGTTAATTTTGTTTTGATTTCTTGGTGCAGATCGTGCTTTTGTTACATTCTCTTTTATCATATTCCCGTGTTTTTGTCACAGTCCCTCTCCATCTCTGTGCTCTTTGAAGTGATCGAGAAGTTTGTCTTCGTATCCAAGTCTTCATAAATGTATTAATTTGAGAATTAGAAAGATCACAAGAATTTATTTCTCAGTCGAGGTGTCAGAAATTATAATTGCTCAAGACAAGTTTTTCGTATATTATATGAATAAGTATTGATATGCGGACAGTGTTGCTTTCCCTCACTAGTTATGGTTGCGTTTTAATTGATTCACATTTTTAAATATTTCCTTGGAAAACTTCACATTCCTCCAATTTGTAGTAGTTTCAAGAGACACTGTAATCCTTCTGTTTTCCAGCTTGCACTCTTCCGAAGTTTGCACGATAGAACAGGAAACGTGATGAAAAAGAATTTTCGTCCGGTACAAAAGCTCTACGATCGCGAGATACAGCTTGTAGTAACTGTTTGATTTCTTTCAATTAATTTGTAATAAATTTATGCGCATTCCGGTTGATGTGTGCTATTACTGCTTGCGAAAAATGTGGGATATAAAGAAGGACCATTGTACTTTGTGCTAAAAGATGCAATGTCATCTACTATTTTGCTATATATGCTCGCTCCGAGTAAAAACCACCTCGTATTCATTTTATATAATTAACTAATGTTTACTTACAGAGCTGTTTAGTGTAGTAAAACAGCGATCTTGCTGATTTGCAAAATCTTTTACTTTAAAATACGAAAATTGCTGTAAATTCAGTATATAGGAAATTTGGAATAAAATTGTGAATTTCTGTTGATCAGAGAACATCATTGCACTCCCAGTATTACTTATGCATCAGATGAAAAGCATGTGAATCTTGCAAAATTGTTTCATCTCGAATTAACGTTATAAATGTTAACAGTTGTGGAATACGACAGAAGCGGCGTAAAAATCTTTGCAAGGTATAAGAAATTGCATGATGTTCACTTTTTGAGGGTTAAATATCGAATGTTTGTGCGAAAAAGTTCCAGAGAAATGGATTTGCATATTTTCTGGGTTTCTAGAACGTAATTTATTTTTTCTACGGAATCTTGGCTCTTTAATTTCTGGAAGTAAAGGCATCGAAACCAAATCAATCCAATTGAATTGAGAATTGATTAACTATGGAAAATGCAATCAACTTAGAAATTTTTGAAGCAATAGGATCAATGTTATATTTCTCAAATATGAGTGGAAATAATGTATCTTTCGGGAATGACTTTTTTAATTTGTGATACTTGAAAACTGTATGATATTAGTGCGCGGGGGGTGGAGGGCAGTGCTCCGTACATTTCATAGGACTTCGCTATATTTTCCCCATGTCTGCTTCGAGTGTAAGTTTCTGAATGCTTCTACAATCCAAACCGGTGGTGTGAAAGTGAGGGAGGTTGCGGGTCAAATGCCAACACATTAGGTCCTTAAAAAAAGTCAGTGGCATCCAGTAAAATTACTGACATTTAAATTGTCCACAAGGGATGCGCGTTTGAAAATGCATGATTTTGATTTGATTATAGGTAGATTTAAACACGTTTTTGTTAACTAAAATAGGGAGCATAACAATTAGGCCATCTTTGTCAATGGAATAAAGTGATGTAGTAAGCCGCGCTTCAAGATTTGATGAATTCTTAAAAGCATCCTTCCTATTGCTTTTGGGAGTATTCTCCCTGCAAAATCAGTTGCCCAATTCCTTCAAACTTCTGAAACACTGTTGCCAGGCATCTGACCAAGCGTTGTCTTGGAGAATCGGATTCTTCTTATTGATTGGTATTGATTATACTTTTGAATGCATTTCACCAATATATTGAGCATACCTTTCGAATAAAATTATTCTCGCCCGCATTTGCAGATTTAATGACAGCTAGCCATGAAACAATGGCTGTGTC